GTGAAGAGCTCTCAAAGTGTGCCACCCATACGGTTTCTTTAGCTTGTTTTTCATGACGCTTTTTCACCTTGCTAGAGCCACCTGAATAAATAGTAGGCGATAGGGAGGAGTTTTGAAAGTAGGTATTTAGAGCAGTGGTCAATCTGTTCTCTTCCTTCCTCCAAGCCCTGTCAACAATAACACACGCCTTAGGCATGTACCAAGTCTTCAGTCATGTTGTGCAAATTTAATTTATGATATCTGTGCGAATGCTGAGGCCTGTAATTACTTAACTTAGATTTGGTCAAATAAACAAATATAGTCAGTCCTCCTGAAGACGGGGTCAAGGAGATTAAGGATGTGGTCTGTTAAAGCTAATATATTAAACTCTGATTTAAACTGGATTTGATTGTTTCTGGGACTGTGGTGAGAGTAGTAGTGTTTACAGATGACCAGTGTCCAGACTGACCACGGAGGATGCAGTTGTGGTTGTGAACATGGTTCAGGGAAGTTGCTGGTATTGTATATGATTTATTTGAATATGTATATAAAGTGAGTTAGTGGGTCGGTGAGTTTAAAATCACTTTCCCATCATTTATATATCATGGCGTTGGATGAAAGTGGTTGATCCCTCCTTTCATGCCCTTTTGAAAAAAACGAGATCATGCCATGTAAGACCAAGGGTCGTTATTTGGCCGAATTTGGAAATCAGTCAATGGATCCTGGTTTGTCAAAGGGATGTCATTCTAGGGTCATAGATGGCAGGGCAGCTCACTGTGAATATCTACACTCATGCTAAATGTGACAAGCAGGGTAGATTTGTGGCTTTCATGGCTGGGTCTGTCCTCCCACCACCCACACTGACAACAGTAGAAGGATAGAAACAACCGTAGAAGGATAGAAATAATAGCTGTCAGTTTAAGTTTGTTCATTGATTTAGATATTTTGCTTCTAATCTGATGTTTGAGGAAACATTCAGTTGATCAAGGACTGCCTGTATAAATATTTCAAATATGACACATTATGTAATGATGGATTCAGCATTGCTGTATTTAGTTTTAATCTTTAGTCAACAGAGCCATTTTTTTAGTATTAAATTGAAGGTTTAGCTGATGCAGTTAAATAAAAGGAATATGTGAATATGTATAAATGTGTGTTTAACAACATTCCTGCAAAATCAGGGGAAGGGGAGGCTGGAAACAAAATGGCCTTAACACACTGTAGTTATGAATGTGGAAAATCAATCCTTTTTGGTGCTTAACCTCAACTCCTCAATATAGAAATAAAACTAAAAGAATTAATTCTTCTCAACTTTCTTGGAAACACAAGTTGATAGGGAATATATACCCAATGTACAAGTGTTTTCAAGACAGAAAATTATCTACAAAATCTTGTCCATTTCTTTGAAAACTTTCTATGACGTTTCTTTGTATGAAGACTGAAAAGGATCCCCTGCTGCTAAAAAATGAGATGTTTTGAGAGCAGTTTGAAAATAATATTTAAAAAACACATGTGAAAAGCATGAAAAGCTATCGAAATTCACAATCCAATCAACTTGTGCCAAGAAATGAAAACCAATGAACATGAAAGAGGTTTGTGTTTTTCATGATTTCTAAAATCATATCATGATTTATCATCCATCATCGCTTGTTAGCACATGCATGTCTTCGAATTCTTTTGAACTCAGGAAGCATTTATTCAACTCTTGAATCTTAAACTGCCATTCATTCCCGAAGGAGCCCAAATACAAATATAGCCCAGATCCAATGCTGAATAGGTGAAAAGACATAAGCTACCTTTGTGAGAATTATTTGACAGGCTTTCCATCAAATTCTTGTTTTTCTATTATACATGTAAGTAAGTACCTGCCATTGCCTTCTACTTCCCTAGTCTTGGACTTATTGGGTGTTTAGTCGAGGGACTGCGGAGGGTGCTCTTGTTCCTTGTGGTCATCTGCATCCCATGATGTATTTCCATGACGAAGAATTTCCTGGTTGTAATATGTGTTTTTTATGTCTGACTGGCTCCGCGGGAACGTAGCTATGTCTGTCAGTCTGTCCAAATTAATAAGCTGAATTTGTATGTATCGGTGAGTCTTTATTCATGGCGTGAATATTGTCACAGTCGGCAATATCCTGGCTATGATATGGCGACTTGGAATACTGAAGTCTGGGTCAGGTGAACGAGTTGTAAATGCTGCGTGAAAAAATATATGGACCATGCTTTATTGTGACTTAAGTGAAACAAGTAAGATATAGTTATTTAATGGTGATATGTTTGCTACAGGTGTCATAGTTCCATTCTTTACTTAAGCTTAGCAACTGTTTCCTGCCACGTAACATTTTTATTAAGTTTTTAATTGTTTGTTCAAATGCACTTTTTCGTGAGTATGCTTTGATTCTCTCAGCAATGTGAAATGTCTATCAGTTTTTTGACAAATGTTGTAGTGAAATCATATATTGTCATCATGAGTGACTCGTTGACAGCATGAACAAGCCTTACCATCAGTGAGTGAGTGAGTGAGTGAGAGTGATTTTAGTAAGAGAGTGGTTGATAGCATGAACTCTGTGCCTCACCATCAGTGAGTGAGTGAGTTGTTGACAGCACCAACTACAAGCATTGCCATGAGTGAGTGAGTGAGTGGTTGACAGCATGAACTACAAGCCTTGCCATCAGTGAGTGAGTGAGTGGTTGACAGCATGAACTACAAGCCTTGCCATCAGTGAGTGAGTGAGTGAGTGGTTAACAGCATGAACTACAAGCCTTGTCATCAGTGAGTGAGTGAGTGGTTGACAGCATGAACTACAAGCCTTGCCATCAGTGAGTGAGTGAGTGAGTGGTTGACAGCATGAACTACAAGCCTTGCCATCAGTGAGTGAGTGAGTGGTTGACAGCATGAACTACAAGCCTTGCCATCAGTGAGTGAGTGAGTGAGTGGTTGACAGCATGAACTACAAGCCTTGCCATGAGTGAGTGAGTGAGTGGTTGACAGCATCAACTACAAGCCTTGCCATGAGTGAGTGAGTGGTTGACAGCATCAACTACAAGCCTTGCCATCAATGAGTGAGTGAGTGGTTGACAGCACCAACTACAAGCCTTGCCATTAGTGAGTGAGTGAGTGGTTGACAGCATGAACTACAAGCCTTGCCATCAATGAGTGAGTGAGTGAGTGGTTGACAGCATGAACTACAAGCCTTGCCATCAGTGAGTGAGTGAGTAAGTATCCATTTGGGCTCCTTTTCATAATACTCCCTCTCTATCAAAGTGGGACACCAGAATAGACTTCTCACACTGTACCCATATGGAGAATGAAACTCAGTTGGTACAGTGTAATGAACATACCTATATCCACTAGGCTACTGCACTGCATTCTTTGCCAGCAGAGCAAAATGACCCAGTCAGATCACCCATCCCTTCAAGGAATCCATTAATAATTGCGTGATATTTCAGAACTGTATTGTAGCCTGGTATCCCAAGGGGTGCTTGGCAACAGAAAACGTTCCAGTAATGACATTTTGAGTCATACTGTGATGAATAGTTATGTGACTTTAAAACCATTTATAATAATTTCTCTTAACTTTGACATTGGTACAAGAGGAGTGCCATGAAAAAAATTAACATTTATCACTTTAAAATCCTACAGTCTCTCACTCACTCACTCACTTCCATGGGTTTTTTTCACTTGACATTTGCACACACTTCCAATCATTGTCTTATTCAACTGTTGTCAGTTTTTAGTGACTGCATGGCTGAAATACTGCTGATGTCACGAAACATAACTCACTCACTCATGTGGAGTAGTAGATGATTACAATACTACACAAGGTTCATCTTGTCATAACTACATTTTTGAGAAGCCAGGATTTTTCTTAACTTATATCCTGTTTATACCGAATCATTTCACAAAAGCCAGCCACTGTATTTGGTCACTGTACATTTTGATGTTGCTCTGTCATAGTTCTGGGCATTGTTTGGCTGTTGTCTATGGCACTGCAGTGTGCTCACTCTAAGGTGCTTTGCAGAGCAAAGCAGCATAAAACTCACTCATTCACTCACACACTCACACACACCCTCACTCACTCATTCACCTACCAATTCATTCACCCAAACCAATTCACTCACTCACTCAAACACCCACCAATTTACTCTCACTCACTCACTCACCTACCAATTCATTCACCCAAATCAATTCACTCATTCAATCAAACTCCCACCAATTTAAAAAAATTTACTCTCACTCACTCACTCACCTACCCACTCACTCACTCACTCTATACTGTCAATCGCATATCAGACATAGCCCTGTCTGTACAGCTGTAAAGAGCGGCTACAGGCAATGCTACAGCTTGTATGAATGTCTGTAGCAATGGCTACCTCACCACAATGTCAGCATGTATAGCCTGGTACTATGACTCACGATATTCCGATTATGAACAAATCCTTTATGATGATAATCCGCGTTCCCTAAGGGATCACTGGTATTGAAATGTTTACTTTGTGTTACTTCACAATCAGATTGAACTGGTGTAGCAAATGAAATAAAATGTGTGTGTGTGGAGGGTTTATGGGTACTTCAAGCATTGCCGAAGGATTGGCGGACACTTTTACCGTACATTTATAGGTATAATTCATGCATGGTTGGATTAAAGGTGGACATTTTAATTCACATTCATCTGTACAGGCTTACAGTGACATTTCCTTGTCGATCTAAAGCTCTCGTGAAATGAGAACTGAATTCCTTGTCAAGTATACACAGCATATTGAACAAGCAAATACTTATGTCAAGCTCTCTTGTCTGGGATCTGCTCAAGACTGAACTGAAATTATCGGTTAAGATGTAACTTTGACATGTAAGCTGCTGTGTGGGCTGAAATATCCTGTCCGTTTAACCAATTGTGCATATTCCAGTTGTGACAGATGCATATTTGTTAAGTCAAAGCTACCAATGTCTGTCTACATGATAACAACCTTTGACTTTAATTTGTGCAATTTGCTGTTTACATTTGTCTATTTCATTTCAGATAGCCAAACCTGTGGAGTGATAACGGTTGTAGCCTGGAACCGCACTAAATGGAACTGTGTTTGTTCACTGGATAAAAATATTGGTTTGCAGCTAAGCACATGGATTGAAGGAGGCAATTTCAATGTGCAAGTATTGATGCTAGTGGAGAGAACATGTATATCGCAAAAACCTTGTTTGGCTAAGAAGACTCTGAGGAGAGGGAGACTACGCACCCAAAATGTTTGTCATCGATAGATGGAATAATTGAGCAGAAATCGGGGATAATCCTTGTTTGAGTTTCAAGAGACTGTGTTTGCATTGTAGTGAATATTGATAAAAATGTGCCTGCAAAGCATTGTGAGGAGGATGTTGGTGGTGATGGTGTTGGTGTCGTCTTTGGTCATGATACATGGCCAGGAGTTTAACTTGATGTATCAAGTTCTTGAGGAACAACCACAAGGAACGTTTGTTGCAAATATTGCCAATGATTTGATTCTTAACTTATCATTTACTGCTCAAGAACTTGACAACCATAAGTATTCCATGTTTACAAAGGATGTTCAGATTACAAAGAAATTTAATATTGATGAAACAACAGGAATTATTACAACTGGGATGAGGTTGGATCGAGAAATCGAATGTGAGATGAAGAAAGATTGTGAATTGAGCTTTGATGTAGGATTCTACTATCGGCCACCCAATAAGGATACACTGGCAGTGGGAGAAAGAATCGTCCGGATTGCCGTCAAACTGGAAGACATCAATGACAATTCCCCTACATTTCCAGAGCGGTCTATCACAAGGAACATATCTGAATCTGTCTCTGTTGGTCACATCATTCCAATTTCCCCAGCAATAGATAAAGATATGACAGGCAATAATTCTGTGAAGACATACAAACTGTTCCCTAGTGATGGACCATTTGGACTGAACATTGAAGAAGATTTATCAGGCAACCAGGAGATTGGAATAAGAGTGAAAGAAGTCTTGGATAGAGAGACCAAATCTTCCTACAGGTTAACCATCTTTGCCAAAGATGGAGGAAGCCCTCGAAGGTCTGGATCTGTTGACATCAACATTGTAGTTACGGATGTCAATGACAACACTCCCCACTTCGACATCAGAACCTTCACGGTATTGGTGAAGGAAGATCATCCTGTTGGTTCCACCATCTTGGCCCTCACAGCCATGGATGAGGACATTGGGAAGAATGGTGACCTCATTTACAGTATCAGTCCAAGAGCAACCAAGAAAGTGACAGAAACGTTTATGATTGATGGTGTAAGTGGAGAGCTTTACCCTATCAAACAACTGGATTATGAGCTGGAGAAGCAATACCATTTCCCCGTTGTTGTTCAGGACCAAGGGAACCCTGTTCGTTCAACTGAAGCATCTGTGATTGTAAATGTGACTGATGTCAATGATAATGCTCCGCAGATCAACCCCAAACAGTACCTGTTTAATCTGTCTGAGTCCGCTAAACCAGGATCCTTCTTTACTGTGTTCTCCGTTGTTGATTCCGACAAAGGCGACTCTGGACAGGTGAATTGTTCCATCACAGATCCACGATTTCGATCGGAATATTTCCAGTACAATTACTGGCGTATTTACCTTGACCAGCAGTTGGATTATGAACAGACAAAGGTGATTGAGGTGAATATCACATGTAGGGATTCTGGCACACCTGCTAAGAAAAATACAACAGCGATTGTTGTACAGGTCCAGGATGTTAATGACAACTCTCCAGTCTTCCCAAATGCTACAATATTTGCACATATATCTGAGAACAACAATGTTGGGGATCTTATTACAACGCTGAAAGCTATTGATATAGACGGTCCCGGCAATAACAACATGCGTTATGACATCGTGGGATCCTCGCGTTTTGTAACTTTAGACAGACATACTGGAGAAATGAAAGCCAAGAAAGTTTTTGATAGTGAAATCCAGTCATCGTTTGAAGTTCCTGTCATAGTTATGGATGCCAAATTCCCAGGAATGAATTCAACAGCATCAGTTATAGTGACAGTCCAGGATGAGAATGACATGCCACCCAGATTCACCAAGCCTCTTTTTAAGTTCAATATCACTGAGAATCTCCCTGCCTATTCAGTTTGTGGGACACTAACAGCTGTGGATCCAGATGCAACTAATAGTTTTGTGTTTTCATTCAGGGACACAGAATCTGTGAGGAATTTGTTTAAGTTGGATTCCAGAACTGGAGATATTCGTTCAGCAGTGAAACTTACTCGAGAAGACAATATTCAATACAATTTCGGTGTGATTGTCATGGATCCTGACAAGGGATCATTTCGAGGCACAGCAGACGTCACGGTGTATGTGATGGAGGATTTGGATAAACCGCCAGTTATCACATTCCCAAACAGATTAAATAATTCTGTTAATGTCCTATTTAATAGTAAAATTGGAACTCTGATTGCGACAATACAGGCCAAAGATGATGGGCGAGATGGTCAGATCATTCTCACGTTTACTATCGAACAGGGTAACGAGAAGACATTATTTCTGCTAAATGCTCTGACAGGAAAGTTAACTCTGGCCCGAACCATTACTTCTAAAGACGAAGGTGATCATGAAATGCTCGTTGCTGTTCACGATAATGGCATCCCCAGACATACTACTTATTCATATTTCACGGTCACAATTGAACATGACACAGCAAATGCATCCTTCGATTACCTGCCCATTGTGATTTCTCTTTCCTGTCTGACAGTGATAATTGCTCTTGCGATTTTGCTGGGGATTCTGTGTATGAAGAGACGAGACAAGAGAAAGAGAGAGGAGATGAAGAAACAGGAGCAGGGGGTCAACATCTATACCCTACCCCCAGGAAACGACCCTGACACCCCCAGGTACACCTCTCACAGTAGTTTGTCTCGGAAGAAGGTGTTCGATGAGATTGAGAGGAACAGTTATAAGTTCAGGGATGATGTCATGGAGTCATCATTCCAGGAAGAAGAAGATGACAAAATTTCTGATGTGAGTATCTCATGGTGATGCCTGTCTGGTCTGTCTGTCGTTCACTGTCTGTCTGTCTGCCTGCCTGTCTGTTGGTCTGTTGGTTGGTCTGTTTGTCTCACACTCTCTCTGTTTCTCTCTGTCATTCTCTCTGTCCATTCCTCTCTCTCTCTCTTTCTTTCTCTTTCTCTCTGTCTGTCTCTTTAGTCTGGGTGGCTATTCAGTGTCACACTGAGCAATATTTGTCTATATGATGGCTCTCTGGAAAAAGTTCCATACTGTAACGTGGAATGGGGTTTAATGTAATGTTTAAGTTTATTGCACTGACATAGCAACCTTGCTCACATGTGTATTTGTATGGCTGCCTCTATTATTATAACCCTGTTACAGTTTGGCCCACTGAATTATGTGCCACAGTTTGAAATGGACACCCCACTCTGTTTTTATCCCTTTAGTGCTGAGTGCTAGTCAGGGTAACAACAAGCACCATATTTTAACTTCTTTTGGTGTGGCATGGCTAGGTTATTGACCTACTGACCTTCCTACCTCTGGGTAGATGCTGGACCACCATGATGGTCCAGTTGTGTCTGTGCCAGCCAACCCCTGAAGATCCAGGTTAGAATTGGTCTTCAGTAACCCATGCTTGTAAGAGGTGACTAACAGGATCGGGTGGTCAGGCTCGCTGACTTGGTTGACACATGTCATCATATCCCAATGGCATAGATGCTCATTCTGTTGATCTTTGGATTGTCTGGTCCAGACTTGATTATTTACAGACTGCCACCATATAGCTGGAATATTGCTGACTGTGGCATAAAACTAAACTCACTCACTCACTGTGTCAGTCTGTCCAGTGATTGATGTTATGAGTGACAAACACTAACTTGGGTACAATGATTCATTTACAGACATGCCATAGAACCTAGCCACTTCATCCATTGAGTCTCCTCTCTCTAGAATAGGTTGCTTAGGACTAGTTGAAACTGGGCACGAAGGAATAGACCCCAGTACCAAGCTTCATGATGTCAGATGTCGGGAATGTGTTGGTTACCATGTGTGTAACAATGTGTGACATTGTGTGTAACAATGTGTGACAATGTCAAATTCGTTTTCTCATTATCTCAGACATTTTTACCTCACTTTATATTCTCAGACATTTGGCCAAAGATCTTTCAATTATAATGCTGCAGTTCTATGAAATAAACTCCAAAATGAACTCAAAGAACTCGAAACACTCTTGCTTTTCAAGTCCCAGCTAAACACATCTCTCTTCCGACAGTCATACCTGGACTAAAATGCGCTACTTATATGAGCATACACATAGTGTATGGAGTTGGCGCCATATAAATGGACTCATTATTTAATATTGCTCTCTGGCATAAAACAACTTATGTGTCCCTAATTTCACTTGAGAAGCTTCAGTATGGCCATGCGCTTAATTATGTTTGAGGTTGTTTTTCATAGCATCATGTTGACTTTTACACAAATGTATTGCCATGCATAGATATAGTACACATGATGTATGGATTTTACTTCCTGAAGGCAATATTTTGGATTGACATAAGGCAAAATGAACAATATCCAAACTTGAAGTTATTTCCACATGCAGACCATAAATATCTACTTCATGTCGAAATACCAGTGCTTAGAAAGATGTATTTATACAGTGAAATCTCAAGCACAAGTCTTTCATTTCCTGTTGCAATGTAGCAATTTTGTGCAGTTAAATTTTCAAATTGATAACATGGAAGTTTGTTTTGCAGTTATCCCACATTAAGGACTACAGCTTACACGGAAGTACTTTTGACCCGGGTCGGAAATATATGAAGTACAGGCAAAACTCCTTCTTGGGCAGAGTAGATGATGGTGCAAGTGATGTCTCCATGGCAACAGACAGTGGGCGTGGCACTAGCGATGAAGACATCAACAGCAACCGTGCCCTAATGCTGATGCACACCGATTCAGGTAATGACTGTTCTTAAAGTCAGAATTATTACCTACCATTAGCTTATACTGAATGTACTCTTTCTTTCAAATAGTTACATTCTGGTTTTATTTAGCTTTCACTCACTAACCCTTTCTGTTCACATAGCGACCACTTCTGTTTGCTTGTTGCTTGCCAGTCTTTTTTTTCGTTAATGTAGTTTCCCTAGCTGCACACAACTTTAGCCATTCATCTTCCCTTCAACATCCTGTGAACTCACTACAAGATAATTTTACAAGCTTTACAGTTGAGAGAACAAAGACAATGTGTTTGTATCAACAGAGGAATATGCATTCCTAGTATAGATGGGGCGATGGGGTAGCCTAGTGATTAAAGCGTTCGCTCATCACGCTGAAGACCGGGTTCGATTCCCCACATGGGCACAATATGTGAAGCCCATTTGTGGTGTCCCCCGCCGTGATATTGCTGGAATATTGCTAAAAGCAGCGTAAAACCATACTCACTCACTCACTCCCAGTATAGATCTAGTGTTTGTAACTACTGCTCTTTGTTAAACTGAGACATGGGTTATCATAAATAGGTAAAATGTGCAGACTTCATAGAATTTGGGTTTACAGATAACATACACAGGTTTAAAATTACTTGAGGGGCTGTAGGGTAGCCAAATGGTTAATGCACTCGCCCATCATGCTGAAGTCCCGGGTTCGATTCTCCCCACATGGGTACAATGTGTGAAGCCCATTTCAGGTGTCCCCTGCCATGATATTGCTGGAATATTGCTAAAAGCGGTATAAAACCATACTCAGTCACTTACTAAAATGACTTGAATCAAGCATACTTGGACCGCCAGTTAGTTGACCATCTTTCAGAATGTATGTCACAGTTAATGCATTAACTGAAAATATTGTTAGGCATTTTGTAATCTAATGGCTAAGTGAAACACATTTTAAAAATTACCTTTAACATGTAATATATATGCAAGAAACAGTAACTGACTTAAACAAAGATTTTAATTTCTCTGCAGGTTAATTTAAACTGAAAATATATCCTTTCTCTACAAACATTTATGAGCTTGTCTTTCTAAATTCCCATCATACTTGAAGTACCAAAAAATGTTGAGTAACTAATTCAACTTATGATCATATGGGTAATATATATGATCTAAGATATTTAGTGGTATGTTTAGTATTTAGTTGTAACCAGTATTTGGGGTGGAAAAATAGTTTCTGTTTTACCAGAATCTGCTGGTCTCAGGTTTGAATCCCAGATTTGCCTTGATTTTGATCAATGTGGTAAACTAATAACTTCTAGATGCTTGATTGGCATTTTAGAAGATGATATTTGATGAACATAGAGATTTTTTATGGGTTACATCTTCTTTTTATAAAAAAGAGAATAAAAAGAAGATGTAACCCAGAAAAAATCTCTATGTTCATAATAACTTCTATCAATTTCGGCTTTCCTTCTACGCTAAGTTTTCATTCCCCGATTTAACTGAAATATTGACAATAAAGCCACCTCATCATTGTACTACGAACAGCCTAGTATCAAATCCAAAGTTAACTATACCAACAAGCTGTACATATCACAGGATAGCAGCCTATTCATGTTATAATAGGGAGGTAGGGTAGTCCAGTGGTTAAAGTGTTTGCTAGTGACGCAATGAAACTAGGTTTGATTCCCCACATAGATGTGTGACGCTCAGCAAGGTGCAGTGGGGTAGCCTAATGGTTAAAGTGTTCGCTCGTCACACTGAAGTCCCAGGTTCGATTCCCCACATGTGTACAATGTGTGAAGCCCATTTCTGGTGTCCCCCGCCATGATATTGCTGGAATATTGCTAAAAGCAGCATAAAAAACCAAACTCACTCACTCACTCACTCAATGTGATGTGGTCCCATTCAGTATTGAGAAAAGCTACATTAGACCATACTGACTCATTCATGATCCTATAATGCTATCAACCTTGAGTTTCTAACATCATATTTTTATAAATATATAATATAAGCCTACAAAAAAAATATGTTTTTAATTAATTAACCCCTGTTATTTTCTCTGACCACAGATAACTTCATTCCTTTGGATGTCAACTTTAATAACTCCAACTGAACATTTAATGCATGATTCGTTGGTTATGATGTACATATCGCCTAATGATTTGACAACCGCCATATCGATTGGCTCTTGACGAAATAAGCCAGCTTAAGGGAAAGATTTCTCTGTCAACAAGCTTAAAATAATTATTTCAGTTTTTAATTTTCACCTGTGTGCATGTTTCTTTTAAACATGTGGCTGATTTCATTAAAACTTGTACCAGGTTGGAGAAATGAAATCTATTGCCAGAGTTAAGGTAACTGAGGTAAGAAATCCTCCATGTGCTAATTGGATAGAGGAAATCTAGAAACAGATACTCGAAAATTGATGACTGGCGCAGGTTGCCATTCCAGTGAAAGATTAACCTGCCTTCGCAGCATACCTACAATTCATGACTGGCCTCCATATTTCAGAGCCTGGGGGGAAATAAATCTAATAACGTACACATATAAATCTTTGAATTATTTTGTAAGAGACGTTTCATGTTTAGATCTCATTTAGTTGTATACCTAAAATTGATTTCATGCTTATATAAGGGCCACACTCCACGAATCAATCTTTGCATTGTGTCCATTGTAAGCCTGTGTTAAAGTGTTGGAGAATTATGACTTAGCACTAAGATAGTTGTGTGCGATGGGTCCAGATCCCTTGTGCATGGTAAGCCTATGTTAAAGTATGGGAGAATTATGATTGCCTTAGAACTAAGATAGTTGTATGTGATGGGTCCAGATCCCTTGTGCATGGTAAGCCTATGTTAAACTATGGGAGAATTATGATTGCCTTAGCACTAAGATAGTTTTATGTGATGGGTCCAGATCCCTGGTGCATGGTTAGCCTATGTTAAAGTATGGGAGAATTATGATTGCCTTAGCACTGAGATAGTTGTGTGTGATGGGTCCAGATCCCTGGTACATGGTAAGCCTATGTTAAAGTATGGGAGAATTATGATTGCCTTAGCACTAAGATAGTTGTATGAAATGGGTCCAGATCCCTGGTGCATGGTTAGCCTATGTTAAAGTATGGGAGAATCATGATTGCCTTAGCACTAAGATAGGTTTTATGAGACGGGTCCAGATCCCTGGTGCATGGTAAGCCTATATTAAAGTATGGGAGAATTATGATAGCTTTAGCACTAAGATAGTTTTATGAGATGGGTCCAGCTCCCTGGTACATGGTAAGCCTATATTAAACTATGGAAGAATTATGATTGCCTTAGCACTAAGATAGTTGTATGTGATGGGTCCAGATCCCTGGTGCATGGTTAGCCTATGTTAAAGTATGGGAGAATTATGATTGCCTTAGCACTAAGATAGTTTGATGAGATGGGTCCAGATCCCTGGTGCATGGTAAGCCTATGTTAAACTATAGGAGATTTGAATCACCTTATAGCAGTGCGATGGGTCCAGATCCCTGGTGCATGGTAAGCCTATGTTAAACTATAGGAGATTTATAATCACCTTATAGCAGTGCGATGGGTCCAGATCCCTGGTGCATGGTAAGCCTATGTTAAACTATAGGAGATTTATAATCCCCGTATAGCAGTGCGATGGGGGCCAGGTGCATGATCAGACCATGTTAAAGGATGGGAGCTATGATGTACAGTTTCTTGGAGACATCATGGAGAATTTTAAATGTCAAATCTTTCAACTGATGACGTGTTTTGTCTTTTTTGCATAAAAATTTAATATTAGCTGGAAATTCAGATCTAATAATGTCCATATGGTCGGAAATAACCACGATCATCTAAATCGAATGTAGATGATGATGCTTAGTGGAAATATCACTTGATACCCACCAATGTATTTGTTTAAGTTTTCCAGAAAGTATTGTTGACACCATGTATTGTGATGTAAGTGGGAATGATGTCACGCTACAAATGACGTCATTTGAAAGTTGCAGTTTTCTAAGACTTTTCTAAAGTGGAGCTCAAAAGGATATATTATTAAGAAATTATGGGTAATTAAAAAAATTCAAAGAAAGGTGAGATCCATTAAACCTATCCCTGTATCCTACAAGAATGGAGATTCATCAAAAAGAGAGCTCCATCCAAACCTATCACTGTATCCTACAAACCGGCCCAAGATCCATCAAATCACTGTATCCTACAAACCAGGAGATCCATCCAAACCTATCACTGTATCCTACAAACCAGGAGATCTGTCTAAACGTATCACTGTATCCTACAAACCAGGAGATCCATCAAAACCTATCACTGTATCCAACAAACCAGGAGATCCATCAAAACCTATCACTGTATCCTACAAACCAGGAGATCCATCAAAACCTATCACTGTATCCTACAAACCAGGAGATCCATCTAAACGTATCACTGTATCCTACAAACCAGGAGATCCATCAAAACCTATCACTGTATCCTAAAACCAGGAGATCCATCCAAACCTATCACTGTATCCTACAAACTGGGAGATCCATCAAAACCTATCACTGTATCCAACAAACCAGGAGATCCATCTAAACCTATCACTGTATCACCTACAAACTGGGAGATCCATCCAAACCTATCACTGTATCCTACAAACCAGGAGATCCATCAAAACCTATCACTGTATCCTACAAACCAGGAGATCCATCTAAACCTATCACTATATCCTACAAACCAGGAGATCCATCAACTGGGAGATCCATCAAAACCTATCACTGTATCCTACAAACAGGGAGATCCCTTTAATTTTATCACTGTATCCAACAAACCAGAGATCCATGAAACCCTATCACTCATTTAGAGCTCATGTGCTGTAGAAAGGATAGCCAATTACCACAAAGGGCATCTTGGGAAAAATGTGAAGTAATACATGCAGTTTCACTCTGCAAAGTGAAATCGTATATCCCAGGAGTATCTTAATATGCTGTTTTATTTCAACTTGAATAAATACGATATGTATCATTTCCCATACGTATTTTACAGCTGATCAGAAAACTGTGCATCATATAGATACATTTACAAAAAATCAATTCTGCCCGCATAATGTGTACCATCTACTTAGCACTTCCTATCAGCAGCCAATTTCAATCTCCTTGGCTTATTCAAAACTGGGGCCATTTAATTGTGTTAGTATAGGATTTTACATAAATTGTCACCTGGTCTGTTTTGTATAGAACGTCAGAGGAGGGTTACATTAAGTGGAACTACACGATAATGTATAATTAACAAAATCTAAATGTTTAAGTAATATGTTTAAATTGTCAGTGTGACATTTGAAATTAGATATGTTTACAAAGATAAAATTAAAATAATAGAGGTGTAGGAATACAAAGTGACTTATTGAATTTGAAATGAGATTTGGGGGTTGGTACCCATAGCTGAAAATTATTGGTTCTATCTAAGTACAAAATGAATCTTTAAACCTATACAAGTAACAAATCCCTAGTGCATACTTAAGTACATGTATATGTTTTAAGTCGCAATAAATTTATTTCTAGATTTTTAACATGTTTCAATAAATATGAAAAAAGTAATATCTATATATTTTATTTCTTTTACACAACAGTTTCAAAGCGTTAGTGTACCACTGTCGAGGGTGCGATTTTCATGAAGAATGGGAGTTTGGTATGACTATCTATAAGGTGTATATTTCATCAAGATGAGAAAGAAAGAATCACAAGAAGTGATCATTTTTATTTGTAGGAACTTGAGTAATGAAATTGGGAAGCTGGAGGTACTTTATTTTCATGTTATATTTAGTTGATTTTACATATGTTATATTTGGTATTACACTTTCTCAGTAAAGAAATGATTTAGTACTTTTGTTAGTTTTAGTCCCATCTTGAATCAATATTCCACACAATCAATATTCCACACAATCAATATTCCACACAATCAATATTCCAGCAATATCACAGCGGAGACACCAGAAATGGGCTTCACACATTGTACCCATGTGGGGAATCAAACTTGGGCATCAGCATGATGAGCTGATGCTAAATTGTCTTAACCACTAGGCTACCCCACTGTTCCTAAAAGTCAAAGCAATTTGATTCCCTGTTGTATGTCTGTTCTATGTCAATATGTCAAATTTCAGAAAATAAGATTTACATTCTTAAGTCAGATTTCTTTAAAAATGTAAAAATATTTTAAAACTTTGTCTCTCTTTAGAACATGTGTGACAGGTTTGTCAGTAAAACAAAATTCACCTAGAGTAAAAGAATACAAAATGCGCATTTTGGATATAGACATTTATTATTTGTTATTGTAACTTATTACTAGGAATGACTGGACATCAATAGAATACCTCATACAAGTTTGATTCATTTCACACTGAAGCAGTACAATTACCTTTGTTCAATAAGATTCTTGAACCTCCAACAAGACTGATGCTTTCCTTTCAAGCCCTGTACTTGGTTTTACTGTTATCTAGCTATATATTCCTGTTTGTTCTCACAACTTTCACAAAGAGTCGCAATAAACCCGGGATATAATAGTTCCTCAGGAAATTGCTTATACAAATAGTGTGTGTTTATTTCATTGGGATATAGTGCAATATTCAATATTTTATCATATTTGTATTTATGATAAATCTTAGAAACTCTCAAGTTCTATATTTAATGGCTAACATTGCTTTGATAATCATAGCAAGGATGCATTTCCATTTACACAGAGCACTGTGGCTCATAAAAGCTAGTCTATATATAGACATTTGTTTATTTATTCTAGATTAACATGACAGAATATTCAACTATGAAGACGTGAAGTTGAAATTCGACTTGATGTCATTAATATTTTCTCACTGATTTTATGTTTGTGCCTTTTTATCTAATATGCACCTAACCAACCTGTTATTCACTTTAACATATATTAGAAACTAACTTTATTTATGAAATCGGCTAAGGACTTGTTTATGATTCTCTGGCTGCCACAGCTTTCTCTTGCTCTTTCACTGTTCACTGGAGTGAGAGACATCCCTGGAAGTTCAGGAGAAAGGAGAGACATGTTGTCATCAATAGGGTTTCATGTCCTTCTCACACGCCATCTTCTAACTCCCTTTCAAGACTTTCAGATTGTTTGTGATGATGCATATTGCATGTGCCGATAACCTGGACAGATGTGTGTGTGCGTGCATGCGTGCGTGGGTGCGAGTGATCTAATAATCCTGACTGTGTGTGATTATCCATATTGCATGTGGTGATAGTCTTGACAGTGTTTGATAAAAGTGTGTGTGTGCGTGTGCATGCGTGCATGTGCATGTGTGTGTGGTGATAATCCTGACTGATAATAATGTGTAAAGTAATGGTAGTGTGTACTGATACCCCTTTCTGTGTGATGGTAATCCTGTTTTCGTATGGATTATATTCCTGTCTGTGTGGTCAGAAACCTTGCTGCAGGTTTTGATAATTCTGACAACCTGATGATTATCCTGTCTGTGATCATAGTCATGACTGCATTTGGTGATAATCATTAATATGTTGTGATCTTTTCTGTGTGTGATAATCCTGTCTGTGTGTGAAGATAGTTGTGACTGTGTAATGATGGTCCTGTCTGTATGGGATGATAATCTTGTCAGTGTAGTGATAATCCTGTCAGTGTAGTGATAATCCTGTCTGTGTGTGATGATAATCCTGTCTGTGTGATGATTATCCTGTCTGTGTAGTGATTATCCTGTCTGTGTATTGATAATCCTGTCTGTGTGTGATGATAATCCTGTCTGTGTGATGATAATCCTGTCTGTGTATTGATAATCCTGTCTGTGTGTGATGGTAATCCTGTCTGTGTGGTAATAATCCTGACCTGTGTGATGATAATCCTGTATGTGTGATGATAATCCTGTTTGATGATAATCCTGACCTGTGATGATAATCCTGTCTGTGTGATGATAATACTGTCTGTTTGTGATGATAATCCTGTCTGTGTGGTTATAACCCTGTCTGTGTGTGATGATAATCCTGTCTGTGTGTGATGATAATCTTGTCTGTGTTTATAATCCTGTCTGTGTGGTTATAATCCTGTGTGTGTGTGATGTGGTTATAATCCTGTCTGTGTGATGATAATTATAATGATAATCCTGTGTGTGTAATTATAATCCTGTATGTGGTTATAATCCTGCCTGTGTGTATTGATAATCCTGTCTGTGTGTGATGATAATCCTGTCTGTGTGTGATGATAATCCTGTCTGTGTGTGATGATAATCCTGTCTGTGTGTAATGATAATCCTGTCTGTGTGAATGGTAATCCTGTCGGTGTGATTATAATCCTGTAATCCTGCCTGTGTGAGATGATAATCCTGTATGTGTGATAATCCTGTCTGTGTGTAATTATAATCCTGTCTGTCAGTGTGGTATAATCCTGTGTCTCTGTCTGATGACAATCCTGTCTGTGTGTAATTATAATCCCTGTCTGTGTGATGATAATTGGTGGTCTGTGTGTATGATGATAATTCTGTGTGATGATAATCCTGTGTGAGGTGATCAAATTGACTGTGTATGCTATAATCCTGGCAGTCCCGACTGCGTCTACATGACGGCATTTCATTCTGTACCTATTCTGTAACATTCCTTTGCATTTCCCTGCTTTTAGTATAGGAATATGTAAACTTTTAACACTTCATTTCCAATTTATACTAAACAATCACAAATTATTCATGTATTGATATCCATACCTCAATTATTTCTGATATCAATAGTCTGTTAAATGAATAAAAATACATTCTTTCATGGATAAACATGTAAACGAAACATCAATCAAGAATATTTTTTCACAGTAATTCACACATGTTCAACATTCATTTGGTCGATGTGAAATGATTGTAAAACATAATACCAACAACAGCACCAGTTATAAGGCGATAGCTAATTGCTTCTGATCAATTGTCAATATTGATTTAATTGATTTTGATTTCAGTAATCAGCAACTGTAGCAACTGCAGTCTTGTGTAGGTGAAATCCAGTTACTAGCTGAGCATTGGTGAGTGTAGGCATTAATTATGCATCCAAAATAAACTTGACATCGGCAAATCTAGGGTAATGAGACCGTTTCATCAAATGTTCGTTCCTTCTGTGTCTGCAGAATGGTAACTTTGACAATCATTATTACATCTTGTGCAGCAACATTCTGAAAAAGCGTATTTTTTTAATGTTATTAATGAGAATCTTCTTCAGATGTTCATTCAAGTTGTGTCAGCAGACTGGTAACCCTTAACATTTTGACATTTTTGTATGGAGCTAGATCTGAAAACTTAAAAAAGATGGGTTTTTTTTATATTATTAAAGTTATAAATATTTCAAGTTTGAAATCATGTTGATTTGTACTTTAGGCCTAACAAACTGTAAGTTGATATGTTTAATAGAACATGATCAATTATTCTTCTGTCTTAGTAATCAACAGCAATGAGTCATTCTGATTGGATATAGTCTCACTCTGCGAGACTGAATGAGATTTTTTCATTGCTTAATTTGCCGTCAAGGTTTAGTGAAACAAATGTTTAGAAACAAGAAACATTTGAAACAATTAAAGTTAAGGATATGTTCTGTTACACCATATCAGCAAAAGATAAATTAAAAAGTCAATGCTAGAGAATCACCAGTCTCGATTGTCCATTAAGACAGATTCCATTGGGCAAAACAGGGTTAAAAATATGTGTGAATGGATCATTGAACATCACTGATAACACCAGGTGTTTGCAAAGATATTAAAGGGGCCGACATATACAAAAATGGGTGTATATTTCTGTATCGATCATTTCAATATATAAGTGATAAATTATTTCATTTCTGTATCGATCATTTCAATATATAAGTGATAAATTATTTCATTTTCTTTCATAATCAAAGAGCTGTATTTCTTTATATCAATCATTAAACTGACAGAAGATGAAAAACACCTGAACAAATGATGTTTTATGTTAACAGAGCAACTATAATGGTACCAACATTTTCTTGATTGAAAAAAATAGTTCAAAATAATATTATCCTCTAGTTGCCATAACAATCCCAGAAATTACTAGTAAAGATTTAGAAAAAACAAACTTTCAAATTACACTATGCAGTTATATTTTACTCAAAACAAGTTAAGGACAATCCAAGTCTTTTATTACAATATATACTATTCACACTTTGCTAAGGATCAAATCATTGATTCAACAGTAAACTATGATGTGGGGTCAAATTTGGTTTAAATATGTAAGCCTATTGTAAGCATGGATCCAAGTTTTCAGTATGTCATTTCATCTGGTGGATCCAATACCTGCTATTGACAGGTGTTGTGTACTTATCAATGACCCATGCCATGTTTTGCAAAATGGTTGATTGGTGCCATGAAAACGATTTTTATGGTTACTCATGTATCAAGTTAGCTTAAAGTGGCTATTTTCCTAAAGATGTGTTACCATATCATTATTTATCCAGTTTTAAATGGATACAATTTCAAATTATAAATCTACATTTAAGTAAAGTTGCGAAGTTTTGTGATCCTTAGCAAAGTGTGAGTAGTATAGTTCACCTGTCATTCCACGACAAATGTTCTAAGTATGAATGATACATACCTGAAAGATGAAACTGCCATGAAAGATAAACTATAGTGATATGAGAGAATCAGGTAGTTCTTAAGTTCTTAATGGCAGTGGGGTAGCCTAGTGGTTAAAGCATTCGCTCATCGCGTCTAAGACCCAGGTTTAATTCCCCACATCTGTACAATATGTGGAGCAGAACTTTCTGCAACTTGTCACTATCATCACTACACACATTCAAGGCCATAACACACAGTATCTCTCTCTCTCTCTCTCTCTCTCTCTCTCTCTCTCTCTCTCTCTCTCTCTCTCTCTCTCTCTCTCTCTCTCTCTCTCTCTCTCTCTCTCTCTCTCTCTCTCTCTCTCTCTTTCTTTCTCTCATTCTTACTCTCTCTGTCTCTCTCTGTATCTCTCTGTCTGTCTGTCTCTCTCTCACACACTCACACACACATACACACACATACACACATTGAACAAGATAAACCCTACTATCACACACCATGAGAACTAGTGTGATGACTCCAATGCAGCACATGACATATTCATTAAGTTTTTGTTGGGAGCAATATTGCTGTAAGGAGCTTCAATCTGACACAAAACAGATATCATGATTATGATGATTGTCGATGACTGACGGTAGGTGTGTTCAGTGTTACATTACAATCTTTGTGGTAATGAAAAAACGTTCAATATAGTGCAGATGACTATTTTTTCTCCAACAGAATATGCAAAACTTCATAAGCATAGAAAATTAATGCAAATTTGATCATGTATGGCAATATTCATGAAGAGCTTCTCGGTCACTACCTCCAGTGTCAATCAAGAAGTCTACAAACTATAGCTTTGGTCCACAACTTGTTGACAACCGATTGTAAAGAAGGCCTGTGCTTCTTTAACAGAGGATCTAAATATTACTTTAGCCCTCTTTGATTGATGTCTTAATCACCCTCTTTATTCTATAAACTTGTATTCGTGTTACAAGAAGGCTTAACCAATATTTTTCTTGTTACTGTGAAATGACCTATATTTAATTTATGCCATCTCTCTGATCAAAATGGTAAATTGATTTAACCTGATTTCAGGTGACATGTCAAAATCTTTTAATCATAATGTTTACATAGCGCTTTGACATTTAATTGTTGGTTCAGTCCGATTATGTTTCTCAGTTCGTCAGCACCATATTGTGGTAAAACACCAAAATGGCAAACATCGGAGACCTGCATAACTATAAGCTTTCCTCTCACATGAAGCAACCCGTGAAGATCCGGGTTAGAATTGATCTTCAGCAACCCATGCTTGTTGTAAGAGGCGACTAACGGGATCAGGTGGTCAGACTCGCTGACTAGGTTGACACAAGTCATGCTCGTGCTGTTGATCACTGGCTTGTCTGGTCCAAACTTGATTACTTACAGACCACCACTATATAGCTGGAATATTGCAGAGTGTGGCGTAAAACAACAAACCAAACCAGAGTCCCTTAATTTCTATTATTATTTTAACAAGTGTCGACACCATGGGTCATATGCAACTAATCTGTAGCTCATTGGAAACAAGCGATAGTGTAAAGGAGAAAACAACTAGCGAGTAGTCTAGAAAATTCACTCAGACTAGTGAACAAGTGTGGGTCTTCCTGTATGATAAGCAGTTTCATTCTGAAGTTGTATTTTTCTTACGACTGTAAAATGTTTGACAGTGTCAATTTTCGTGTCTTGAATGAAAATGGTTAATCACATTTAAATTCTGATTTAATATACTAGTATATTGGAATATTTGAATATTGCTGGGTGTGGCACAAAACTAAACCCACTCACCAATAGTGGTAAAACACCAAAGCTGAGACCTGCATCGCTATAAGCTTTCCTGCCACTTGAAGCTGACGTGCTGGCTGTAATAGAACTAGAAAACTGTTCCAAGCAGCATCACAGTCAATAGTGCTTGACATTTCATCAGAATATAAGAGTACTATATCTATATTCTTAAATAAATGGGTACTAGCCTTGAAGGTCACACTGATGACAGAGGGAAATTCTGTGGCAGAAGAATCTTTAATGCAGAAATGTTACCAAAGTGTAATCTTCTAAGGTTCTATAAGTGAACTGCATAAACCTTTCTGGAACTTTTTCTGTGCCCTATGAAAGATCTTTTAAACTGTCAAAGGTTTTACCTGAATCAGTTACATTTTGGAAGTTCTAAAAAGTTGCATGAATGAGGATGTCTAAGATTTGACGGTTGATGGAGACATTTCTATGGGAATCTTTCTGCGAAAGGCAGCTGGTTCTCTCAGACTGTTAAACACTGGATTAGTACATTCGCTGTGTCAATTGATACTATGAGGAGGACAACTGATATCAATAGCCCTCTCCCTCGTGTGCAGATCTATAAAGTGTTACATGGCACTGACCGAGTTCCCTCCTGTGATGTCCTTTTAGATACACTTTTTAGGAATAAAACTCTTTGATCTTTAATGTCACTGAATTGAATGATTTTATAATAATAAGGGAAATGTTGCATGATCGCTTTGCTCTTAATCTGCATGCTTTTAAGATTAGTTGTTACCATGATAGGTTATATATGCTTCAAGTGATTTTTCTTTATATTTTATTTTTTCCATGCCCTGTTTTGCTTTAACAAAAAAGAATGGTGGACCATTAAACCTTGAGTTTGAAAATTCCAATCTAAATCTGACTAACAAATGTTTTCGTTTTCAACACTAGGCAAGATGAAAGTAAAGAATTATCTCATTTCCACCCTAAGTCTGCTTTTCTTGATCAAAGAAAAATGTTAGATAAATATCGTGTAATATTTTTGTGCTTGAGATGCTTGAGGTACGTATCAATACACCCAATACTCTTCCCCTCACAACTATTTCACTGTTATAAGTCTAATAAGCTGGTGACAGGTGCAGCTAACTTGCACCAAGGTTTGGAGTGCAGATTTTGGTAATTGTGTAGATTAAAGTAAATTCCCCATTCTGCAAGAACATTTCCAGAAACTTCCCAAATGCCACTAATTTACTGGGAATCTTGCAATGAGGATACAAAGATTTTCACTTCCTAGATTAGACAAATTGCAAAATAACTGATAATGAGTATTGATCTAGGTGCTCTGTTTAGCGGAATTATATACATGAGGATATACTATTAGGATGTGGCAAGTGCAATGTTAGTTAATGAAACAACAGACACTTTTATTGATTTGTCCGAAAAAGCTACGAACTCATCAGCCTTTTGACTTTATATGCTGGGGAAAAAGAAATTTTCATTATTCATCAAGTCGCTTTTTATTGTTTGATGTGGGTATAACTTAGGACAAATCGACAAGTTTTGATGGTATTTTTAACCTGGAGGAAAATCTCATCAAAACTAAGATAAAAATGGCGGTGTATATAGTGGACATTCCAATAGTTGTTAGCAATGGCGTCACCCTGGTAAATATACAATGTCTTAAAAAAAGAAATTACTGCATATTGGTGATTATAAAAATATTACTCTTTTGATTGTATGGTTTCCTGGCCTGCTAAAGTGCATGCTATGAATTTAATTCTGACATGGAATCAGTCTAAATGCACATCCAGTTATTCTAATGCAAATGGCCAGTACTCCAGATTTCCAAGAGCAGCATAAATAACAATAGAGTTGCGTGTATATCTAACCAGAATGATTCCAACTGCGTCATTTCTGATAGTATTTTAATCACCATGTCCATACAAGAGAGTCAGCTTGGTTTAATGATCATGGCCATCTGTTATCATGACTGATTTTCAGTAATCCATTCATAGAACTTTCACTGTGTTTTTGTCCTTTATGCAACCTGCAATATGTTTTGGTGGATTATTTTCTGATTTAAGTTCTATACTTACATTGTTCTGTGGGTTACGATATTTGGGTGCAAATAAAAACAACAAAGCCATAAATATAACAGAAACCTATGCAAAATCATACAAGACATAAGATCAGCAAAACCCTTTCGATTGTCATAAGAAATCACTGTTAATGTCACGTGACACCATACCCATGTTTGTGGGTTCATAAAGTAGTAAATGTAATGTAAGACAAACTACCAACATCAAGCTGACATATTTTGAACACTGTTCAATGTCACATTAAACCAAACACATTTGAAGGATGAGCTTGTGTTTGTTCAGTTAAGAAATGTGGTGGTTGGGTAGCCTAGTAGTTAAAGCGTTCGCTCATCACCCGAAGATCTGTGTTCGATTCTCCACATGGGTACAATGTGTAAAGCCCATTTCTTGTGTCCGTTGCCATGATATTAGTGGAATATTGCTAAAAGCAGCTACTCACTCACTCAATTTAGAAACCTCTGTTTAACTACCGATTCAAATTGTACTGCTTCTAATCCATGTTTGTTTGGATTCATTTCAGATCAAAATTCTAGTGTTGAGAGATCTGCCCTTAAGCGTTCTGTGATAGCTTGTTGATGGTGTATGTGTGACAGGAGAAACTGACTTCTTCCAGTGTCAGAACTAGATATCTCAGGACTAGATCTGTTTCATGTTATTCTTCTCATCTCAGGACATCTGATTATATGGGAGAAACTTGTTCCTCATGCTACTCCAGTGACCCAGTCCTTGTGCACCTGAGTGAATGAATATTTGAGGACTAAATGGCATACATGTGTCCAGTGGAGAAATATCTGTCTGCTTCTGTGACCACACTGTGGCTTATGGAGAATGTGGAATGAAAATAATACGACCAACAGTACAAGAACATGTGAAGCTTGTGCTCAAATGATAAAAAAGTGTGACCAAGAATGTGAGAGGATGGAACTTTTGTGCCCCTGTATGTATATTTGATGACCAACAATATGAGAAGATGTAACACTTGTGCTCAAAGGATGAAATAATGTGACCAGCAAAGTGAAAATGGGACTTTTGTGCCCCAATATGGATATTTGGTGACCAACAATATGAGAAGCTGTGACACTTGTGCCCAAAGGATGAGAAAATATGACCAAGAATGTTAGAGGATGTAACTTTTGTGCCCCTGTATGTATATTTGATGACAAAACAGGATGAGAAGATGTGAAACTCTGGGGCCCAACTGATGAAGTAATGTGACCAACAATCAGAGAAGATCTGACACTTGTGCACAAATGTGAAAGTATAGTGAACAATGGTGTGGGTAAATGTGACCTCTGCACCAGCCACAGAAGAAAAATATGATCCAACTCGGAAGTCAAAGAGGAAAATGTGATCACCTATGTGAGAATTTACGTTCCATTTTGAATGATAGTGGGTATTAGGATAACACACATATGTTAGAATGAGAACACATTGTTTGAAGATAAGGACTTAATGACACAATGTATGTTAGCAATTGATTTGATAATTTGTGTTTAAGGGAGAGAATATCTCCTGTGAGATTGTGTCATGTTGTGTGTAAGGGGCAGAGGCATTGTAACTCATGGAGAACAAGTTGTGACACATGTTTTCAGACATAAGGGGATACAGTCTGATTAAAATGGGACTGCCAAAAGTTCATTTGGTCCAAATTAGCCAACAGTGACAGATGTGGCATTTCCTTGGATGTGGAGTGCAAATAAGGACACAAACGAAGGGAATGTTTCATCAGCGAGACGTGACTCATGTTTGTGAGAAATTGGTGCTATTATAACATGGCGGGAGACACAAACTCCCAACAGTGCTCAAAGTGCATACTCCTGACTCTGCCAAACAGGACACCGCTTACCGTTCCTGTGCCTACACAAAATGGATTAGTTTTTGTACAGCAGGTAAGTTGTATAACAATAAAGTTAAACACAAGTGACATTCATTTTTGATTGAATAAACTCTTTAAATTTTAGTTAATTTCAAGGTCATCTAATCAAACTGATAGAAAAGGGCCTGTAGGTGGATTCATTTTTGGACTATATATATCTGGCTATATATATCTCCCAATTATAGTTGTTTTGATTAGATTTCAAACATCTTTAGATGTTCAGACTAGTGTGGTTTGAGCATCATGACCTCAGTTTTCTAAACAACACAACAGTGTATAATTAAAGATGAATACATTGGTTGAAAGCTGTCACAGATCACATTATTTGAATCAAGATCCCTTTTCACATTTGACACACATGGTTGTCAAAAAATCTTCTGTCTCTGGTGAAATGTTGCTTTCTCCAAAACAACAAGCTTTGATGAAGACATTCAGGAAAAATAATGAAAGAAAGAACTTATGAGTTGATACCGCTTGGGGAAAACTGACCTTCTTTGCAAAGTTAGCTAGGAATCCTGAAATGAAATCTGCAAGTGAAAATGTTGTGTTTTTTGTTTGTATTCTTTCTAAATCTGTTGTTGTCTATACTCTTTATATATGTAAAGATTAAAGTGTTTGGTTTTAAAACAAAAATTATGATTCTGAATGAAACTAATTTCTTTATCTCAAAATTACAGCTGTCGTGGAGTTGAATTATTTTGTCATGTGAAGACGTTGGTCATCAGGGGTTTTTCTTTGCAATTCTGTTGACATATTTGAGAGGAACACTGGTTTAAATACATTAATAAGGCATGGAAAAAAGTTCCTTCTTTGAATGGCAGTTTTAAAAGTTGTTTAAATATATCAAACCCCATTGTTATAGAAACCTTTCCAAGAATTTACTACATCTATCTAGAAAGTAGTAATTAAAGCATATCAATCAGTGATGTGCTTGTTTTGGTTTGAACCACAATGTACACATGTATAAGGAAGAAAACAACCATTTGATTTTATGGTTTGTGAATTTGTTAGGACAGCTAACTTTGATCAGTTGAAATAGAAATAAAAATACATTAGAATTGCTCAATATATTTGTATGTGATTTGGCATGAACTTGTTTCTGACAGTTAATCAAGAGGAAATAATACAGCTTAATTACTGTGCATGATTAGCATATATCAATAATTTCTATATGGATCTACTTCAGAGAAACTTCATTATAAGAGATAGATTAGGTTAACAGAAATATAACTAAAATACTGCTGAGAGCATTGTTAAAATCACAAGCCAACTTACTGTTACTCATGCTTGTCGTAAGAGGCCACTAACGGGATCGGCTTGTCAGGCTGCATGCTGACTTGGTTGAAACATGTCATTGTATCCCATTTGCGTGAATATCGAAGCTCATACTGTTGGTCACTGTTGTCTGGTCCAGACTCGATTATTTACAGACTGCTGCCATATAGCTGGAATATTGATGAGTGCAGCATAAAACTAAACTCACTCACTCTCTCGCTACTCTTACTAACTCAAGAGTCACCTATTTATACACCAGGTTTAACATGTGTGTACAAATTGTTTGTTACATGCGTAATATAGAAATAAACCTGATTTAACTATATATAATAATGAAAGTTATTATCATTTTGAAAAGAAATGAAAACAGTAAAAATGAGTCACCTATTTATACACCAGGTTTAGCATGCATGTACAAATTCTTCATTACATGGATAATATAAAAATAAACCTGATTTAACTGTACATAATAATGAAAGTTATTATCATTAAGAAAAGAAATGACAATAGTAAACAGTCCTGAAAACCTGGTTGAGCTAGGATGCATTTATAACTGTAGGTTACATCAGTGTGCATGCAGCCATTCAAGGACAATCCAGGAAAGATAGGAAGTAAAGTGAGTTTTTCTCAACCTTAGCAAAAATAATTTCAAGCACTAAACATTATTTTGATCACCTTAAAATCCATAAAATTGTCTGCAAAACACCATGAAATAGCACTAAGCACATTTAGAATTAATTCTGGGTTCAGGGAACGGTGAAAGGGGACATAAACAGCACTAAGTAGAACCGTAATGGAATAGAAGTTACACACCACCGATCAACATTTTAGCTCCGGTAATATTGTGGTTACACATGGCCGATTCTTGTAATATTCCCATTAACGATATACTGACCAATGGTCACACACAGTTGCTTCCATCGATAACTGGACATGCTTGACCAATGCCACATTCCCATGTCTGTGGGCTTCAATAACAGTTTCTATGGCGATGTTGCTTATGGTTGTTTGTATTCAAATGAAAGGAAATGTTTCTGTCTCGATTGATGCTATAAGATCACAGTCTGGCAGATTAATATACCTTTCCTCCTTCACAGCACTGGTGCTAGTCAGTCTTAGGCAAAAGGGCTTCCATGTGGAAACTGATTTGTGTCAAGCGTATTGACAACCTGTCCCTGACTAAATCGTGCACATGCTGATGGCTGACATTAGTCCTCGGAATATCAGGAATCTTCGCTTAACTGATTTAAGGCAAATCATTGGAAAATCTTGTTTCGGCTAGACCAATTTAATTTGTTGTTTTTCAGATATTCTTGATCAATATGTCAAGAGTCTAAACCCAAAAAATGAATCAAAGCCAAATTGATAACCTAAAATGATTTTGATTATAGAAGTATGCTGGGTTGTTTTATTTTCCTTTGAAGTGTGATTAGGAAACTAGTATCAAGTAGGGTTTGAAATAAGAATATCTTCATCAAACACAGCATTTTGCCTAACTGACATTTCAAAAATATTGATCCTCAAAAGTAGTTTGAAATGAAAGTGCTTGAAATATTTTGCAATTATAGATGGATAGTAGAAAGATATATTCTTGTCTACCTATGTGTTCTCAAATTAAAGAAAATGCCATGGAACATTTATTAACATGTACACAACAATGTCAACAGACCAGATGGATCTCATTTGGTGGTACTTGTTCCTTTGCACAGTGTACAGATCACTGATCAGGTGCAGTTATGCAGTGTTGGTCATGGATGGGAGGTACATATATTTAGAATTTTGGCTTTGGTCCAGCCATACATTGAGTGAGTGAGTGAGTATGGTTTTACGCCACTTTTAGCATTATTCCAGCAATATCACGACGGGGGACACCAGAAATGGCTTTCACACATTGTACCCATGTGGGGAATTGAACCTGGGTCTTTGGTGTGATGAGCAGACACTTCAGCCGCTAGGCTACCCAACTGCCCCCACACACTGAGGCACAGGTAGTACAGTTGTTGTCTCCATAGGCATGTGACTTCACAGTGTTTGAATTATGCCTCTGTTCACTGGCAGGATGAGGTGATAATGTGTTTGTTAACCTACTAGAGTTTCACAGACTGGAATGTATTCTCCCCCAGGGAGGTGAGAATGAAAACTGAGTGCACACTGATCCATTGACTGGGGTTATAATGCACTGCTTAAAGGTCTTGATCTGGCTCTTTATGAATATGCATATTACAGTGCTTGCAATCAACTATTGAATTATTTGAAGGAAGCATGATAAAGCTTGAATATTGCAGACTGGTGCAGAAAACAACATTTTTTCAGATGTACTAGGTTTCATTTTTTCCCTGTTGAAACATGAAAGTAAAACTGGAAATAACCTGATTGATAATAACACTTCACATTAGTTTCAGATATAAAAGGATTAAATGCATTACTTATATTAAACTACATTAAGGAAAACATCATTGCGTTGTTTTCAAGTCCCTTCGGTTGGTGGTTTCTAACATCAAACAAACACAAATGGCAATTGGTAATAGATGAAAACAACAATGTGTCAAGTTTTACATAGACTGTAAAATTATCCTAATAAATGGATTACATTTTTAATAAAACATGTTTAATAGCTTCTCCTTACTTTTCTATCCTTTGAACTTTCCTGAAACCGTTATACATGTAATACCAATTACTGAATATGCACTGTAATTATAAGGATTTTCTCGAATCTCCACATGGGTACAATGTGTGACGCCCATTTCTGGTGTCCCCCACCGTGATATTGCTGGAATATTGCTAAAAGCAGCGTAAAACCACACTCACTCACTCACTATAAGGATTTTCTTTTATTATGACTTTCTAATTGATCAATGATAACCCAAACTAGAGAGAATAAAGTAAAACATGAATCTGCTTCCAGTGTAGAATGATTTGGCAGGATTGCCTCAGCTCTATGACCTTCTAATTGTTAAGGGCTCCTGTAGGAATGACTTTTTGCTTTGTGGATTTGTGTTTCTAAATGAGATGATTCCATTTCCATTTCTCAAAAATATAATTGTACTATGGGTTTGAAGTCTTTCAGAGAGGACTAATACTTATCCTAACTTACTATGATTATATTCTGGCACTAATTCTTAGTCTAACGGATATGATGTGTAAATCCTCTCAGCCAGGGTAACAATAAGTACCATCTTTTAATCTCTTTGGTATGGTGGAACAAGAGGATCGAACCACTGACTTGCTGTTTTATGAGTGGATGCCCTATCCACTAAACCATGGAAACAGTCCATATGACCATTGAAGAACACTTTCGACAATATGCAAAAGTACTTGTTTTGCCTCTATTAAGAATCTTGCAATTCCATTGGTTAATCCATACCATGTGACAAAACAATACATTAAAATGAGGACCTCCAAATTATATTGAGATTGAATATTGCCCTTCAATATTTACCTGTTATGTGATGAGGGGCAGTGGGGTAGCCTAGTGGTTAAAGCATTTACTCATCATGTCAAAGACCTGAGTTTGATTCCCCACATGGGTACAATGTGTGAAGTTCATTTCTGGTGTCCCCCGTAGTGATATTGCTGGAATATTGCTAAAAGCAACATAAAACTAAACTGATTCACTCATGGGATGAATGTTGGCTGAAACCAAGATGGCATTTGGTAGTAACATTTCACAATTTATGTGTTACTGTAATGAAACAACATCAATTAAGGTTTCAAGGCTTCATAAAATATAAAATGAATTTTAGTATACCAGTAACCCAAAGCAATGATATTCTATGATGAGGTCAATATGAAGAAACAAGAATTTTGACCCCTTTGGTGGACCCTAGTCTGCAGTATTGGTCAACACACACAACGGGCTGTATTACTTGTTTTCACATACTGACCTCAGCAAAGGGATTTTTTTAATATAATGATAGTTTATGAATCATGTAGAAAAATTATTTTCCACATTGTAATCTTGTTTAACAATTATCATTAATTTTCACTGTGGCATAGACAATAACTTGATGGGTACTAACAATAAACCATACGTTTTTGTCAGGGCACAATGAAGCACTGCTAGTTCAGATACTGCTAGTCTGAAAACAAGCCATACTTACTTTTATTAAAATATACCAGTGTGAACATTTCATATTATTTCTATCATAACATCAGATTTAAACCATAATATATTTAAGTTTATCGTATGATAAAAAGAATGCCTTTATTTACAGGTTTCATTGCAAAAGGACAAGAGTCATGTTGAAAGTAAATTCCATTAGAATTGACCTTTCAAAGGTACAGAAAGTAATTATAAAGTCAGCTGCTTTCGGTGTGCTGGGTGGCAAATAAAATGCTTATAAAGGCAGTGGTGAAAAATAAACCTGAAATTGTCTGAGTCTGATTGAAAAGTAGGGCCGGTAGCCTGACAGGGGGGATTCTGCAAGAGCTCCCAATTCTCATTGATTTTAGGACACCAACTCATTTAATCCCTATTTGATGTATTATTCATACGATGAGATTGCATTTACTTCAACTTGAAAACTTAAATATTTAAATGCAGGCTTGGAAAGAAACAAGTTAATGTACTCACATGATCATAGGGATGGTTTGGGAGTCAAAAGACTGGTATTTTATCCAAGACTGGTGGTAACTGTAATGTTTCATCCAAAGAAAGTTTATAAAAAATTGTAAAATTAGCAAGCATTAATTGTATCTTTAAAGATCTGTTGAGTAATGTTAGCACCAGTACTTTCAGATATTCCAGTGCTTTTCTCTAAAGAGCAGAACTAAAATGTTTTTAATTCGGAGTTGATGTTGTGCCTTTGATCTTCTTAAATGTCATGAAATTGTTTGGAATTTATGGTAAAATGGGAAGGTTTACAAGCAGTAGATGAGTTTATGTAGCTTTCATGAAGAAAAGAGGAGAATAAATAACCCTTTGTGATATTTTAATACACATACTGTTTCTTGCAATTACATAGAAAACGCATTTATTTCATGATTTATTTATTTTGTGTCATTTAAGTTGTTTATGTAAAAAAATATGATTGAGATAGAGTTTAGTAAAAGGTTTGTTTAAATTTCACATAGGGCTGTCATTTAAAGGGGAATAATTTAAAGGAAAGAATGTACCCAAACTGAAGCTCTTTAAAACTTTCTGTATGGTTTTGTGAGGTAGTAATACAAGTTTATTCAAGTCATGGTGTCGTGTTCTAAAATATCCACAGAAATACATAGTGTGTTAGCGCTTTGAGCATGTGCCTTGTAGATGGAAAAGGCGCATTATAAATTCACAATTATTATTATCAAATATCAGAATAAATTTCAAGCCTAAGGGTTTCTTTTATGTAAAGGTGTCATTCCTATTTCATGTGGACTAAATGTTTCCAGAGTGTTTTGTTTGTCAAAGTATATATGTTTAAACAAAGAATTACAAACCAAGGAGAAAACACCATTTGTAATTGCTGAAGCAAGACTTTCAAGATATCATAGAATGTTTCAATAGGCGTCGATGGTGTTGATCATTTTCTGCTCAAGAGAGCTTATGTCGGGATTACTGTCAAGGCCATACAGCAATTTGCTGTGCAGAGTTGCATCCCTTTGGCACAATAGAATTTCTGATCTTGTGTTCAAATTTCAGCTGGGATGGGTCCAAATTTTCTATCCAGGTACTCCACCCCATATTACTCCAAAAATTTCAGCCAGACCACATGGCTGGTTAGATGTAAAACTTGACAGCCCTGACCAAAACTTACCTGCCCGCAAATATTTTAGGTTAGAAAGTGACATAGTTTATCATCCAATTGGAATTAATCATATATTTTTACGAGTGAATTAATAAGGAATTATCCTGAAACATGATGAATATTGTCATATACATCATTACATGTCTAATTATTAACGCGACCGTCAGGCAGGAGAATATGAGAATCTGGCAATGTGTGTTGAAAATAACCCATCCCGGGCGGTTGGGCAGGCTGGTATTTCCAATGCTGCTCATGCCCCTTATGTTAATTCCTGACATCAAATTTGTAAGAAATGGCAATAAATTCTTCAGCTCGGAGGCTAAAAATTTGAGTTTTTCAACATCTTAACCATGTATTGTATTCAAAACAGGTGACGTTATATATGCCCGTGGGTTTCGGAAATTTTGGTGAATGTCTGAAACCTGCATCATCTCAGACTCTCCTACCACATTAATATAACATACCATGATGATGATTATTATTTAAAAAAATTCACTTTATTTATTATTATTATTATTATATGGGTATTTATAAAGCACTATATTCCATCCCATCTACATGCATGCTCAAAGCTCTTTGTGTTTCCCTTGATCATTGCATGTCAGTCTCAAATGGATTCTGTTAAAAGTGACCTTAAACCCAACCCACTCACTCGCTCATGGTCTGCATGTCCTGTATCCAACACTAAATGTGTAGTCATGATGAAATAAATGTCATAAAATCAGATCATTTCCTTCCAAAACGTAAACCATTTTCAGTACAGACATAGTTCATGTTGTTGCTTATATATTTCTTTCATTATCCCAAACATTATATATTTTGATACAGTTTATTGTAGAATAGAGAAACATCAGTTTATGTTGATTTTGTATTATCTGTTAAATCATTATTTGTAAATTTTCTTTTTCAGATTAATTTAAACAGTGCTTTGGACCAATCACAAGCTGACCGGGGAGCATGAATTGAAATATTTTCCTACACTGGACATATGCCAAAATCTATGACTGAAACCCATAAATCTACATACAGGAATTCAAATTCTTTTTGTGTGGGAGAATCATTTTGCTGATGAGTGCGTAGATATCTTACAGATTAATGAGCACTTCACTGAAACATGAAAACTAAAAATTCTTACATTCTCATTCTTATCATCCTTACTCTGCAAACCAGGAACTCAATGTGCATTTTTCAATTGCTTTCCCAGTTACTAAGGTTGTAGAATCCATTCTGTAAGTGGAAGTAAATATCCTCTGGGTACAGACCAATTTGAATATTTATCACACACTTGCTCCAGGGGTTTATGCTTTGGTTTACAATCCATATATTGAACTCCAACATAGTGTGATGAAATTGACACCATCATCAGAATGCTAAATCTTTAAGAAAAGTCACTCGATTCCAGCCTCCTTCTTCAACCCTTATCTCTGACATGCGGAAGCTATGGCAATGGCTGCTTGTTAAGATGGAGATTTTTCACCACGAAAGCCTTTCATTCTAAAGGTTAAGCTATATGCCTCTAATTAATGACCTGGTCGCACTAGAAGTATATCTACTACATTTTACAATCTATTTTTTGGTTAAATTGCCTCTGCACTTCTCAAGATGTTTTGCAATTACTGAGGTTTTGGCCATTAGTAAATCAATACCTGGTAGCACCAGTCTAATGTGGGGACTTGGTTCTGTCTATTGATAAAGGTTGAATATCATTGAATGGTACCTAGCTTTAAATGGATTTCTGATCTTAAGCCTTCTTTAACCTAGAACGTAAACAATGGTTTGTTATATGGGTTAAGGGTCTCTTTGAAAATGTTTCAATGTAGGGTGTAAAGATATATGTTATTAGATTCCATCCTGCATCAGTTTCATTGCAAGAAATTCGCAGATAGTAGATGAAGTTGTATTACTTTTATTAAGGGGAAATAATCATGAAGTCTCTATGTTATCATTAGCTGAACACTTTAGTAAAATACCATCCCTGTCTCATATTAGATTAAAAAAATGTCATGTTAATATAAAAGTTAAATATAAAAAAATATGTCAACAATGCTTTAAATTCATACTGCAATGGATTAGGATGTTATGAATACTCTTGATGAAAAGGGCTCTAAAGGTTTTCAATGGCTAATGAATCAAATTCATTTTTTTTCAGATTTGCATTGAAAATTCATTTAAATGGTTAATGAACTGTGAATTATGTTGATGGTGCTTGAGATTCTACAATGGTTAGATGCATCTCGCTGTCCATCCTCCTGAGCGAAGGGCTATATATAGTGCTATGAGAGTGTGAAAGGTTGAGCCATGAATGTACTACACATGCGGCAGACTTGCTCAACATCCAGTGTCTTTCATTTTGTTGATGTCACAATGCTGTTGTTGATGTCACAATTATGTTGCTGATGTCACAATTATGTTGTTGATGTCACAATGCTGTTGTTGATGTCACAATGCTATTGCTGATTTCACAATTCTGTTGCTGATGTCATAATGCTATTGCTGATGTCATGGTACTGTTCATATGTATATAATTGGCATAAGGACTTGAGATACAACATTGATAGTGTACAAAACAAACATATCTTATGAGTCCAGTAATGTATTATTTTTCCAGATTGAAGTAGCAGATTTTATAGTTTCTTTGAATTAATTTGTATAAATAATGTAATATTCTAGCATGACAGACAAGTCCATTATGTTTTTCTGCTGTTTTGTAGAAGATCTGCTGTGGTGACATTGCAGAATGTCAGTAATGCCAAAATGCTTCCATTCCACAGAAGTCTCTGATTTATGATAATTCTTGTGAGACTTTTACCACATAAACTTAGTTGGTTTTTTTCTTGGTTTACTTGTGTCGATATCATGAAGTTTAATTTCATGTCATAAGTGACATATTCTGACACTGAAGGCACAAGACATTTGATCTGAACAAATAAATGTTCACAACTAAGGTGAATTCATAATATTTTTGTACATCAAATGTAAGAGTCAGTAAAAACTAAAATAGAAAAGCATCCTCTCATTACAGTTATTCCTGCAGAAGCAGAATAAGCAAGATGTGACAGTTCAGACTGAATTTCTCTCTGAGTTTCGTCTCTCAGTTCATACTATATATATTGCAAATGACAGGAAGTCCACATTTATGACAAAAAATCCCAATTTCATCATTCACAAGTCAATGTTAGTATTTGATTTAATGTGCAGATTGATGTACATGTATGATGTTCTTTGTCTATTTTATTCTGTAGCTCCATCATTTGATAAACTTCATCATCTGATATAAGTGAATCATGGATCGCATCACCTGATGAAATGATTTGTCAGAGCCGAAGTGATAATTATACTTGCGTCTGTTACATCGAAAATCACAGAGAATCAGTTCCTGAGCCTAGATTTTCGAAGCTCTCTTAGCGCTAAGATAGTCGTAAGTTAATGTTAATGTATGGCACTTACGACTATCTTAGCACTTAGAGAGCTTAAAAAATCTAGGCCCTGGACCCTTGGATCATGAATAGCTTCCTTTACTGCAGCACCTGCCATTGCTTGAAGGTCAAGGTCAAGGTCACTGTACAGTTGTCTCCGAAAAATATTATGCAGACTTTCCAATATCACTTGGACAAACATGATTGGAGTGTCATGCACTATATGTTGATATGTGGTTTACTATAGACTTAGCACCAGGGTCACTTGAAGGAGTGGGCTTATTCTTTGAGTGTGGGATGATTTATACTAAGCTTTATTTGAACCTGTGGGACTCTGAAAGTGCATGTACTTCACTCGGTAATTGGATGTCCAGAAGAGTTTAACTACAAATTCATATTTACCAAATTTCAGAGAAGCTGTACCACAGAACCATGTGTACAATGGTTTCTGATGTGACTCATGTTATATTTGGGATTACACATTGTCAAAAAAGTACAGATTCTAGTACTTTTGTTGGGGTAAGTCCCCAGGTTTCGAACCCACACTCTCAGATTGGGAGCCATTGCAATTTACACTTGTCAGAGGTGTACACAAAGCCTGTGATCTAGACTACCAGTTGTCTGACTTCCATTTTTATGCAAGATGCAGTGGCTGAGGGGGTTAGATGTCTGACTTTGTGTGCTGGCAATTAGGTGCCTGACGCTGAGAGTGTGGGTTCGAGTCCATGATGGAACTTGACCCAACAAAAGTACTAGAATCTGTACTTTAGTAAGAAAGTGTAATTCGAAATATATCGTGTTACGTTTCCCCAGTTTCCAAATGGCATTTGTTTCATAGGTTTCTGATGTGTCCAATCAACACTTAGATGGTATGAGTCATCCTGCTTTTATTGCTTTTGAACAAACAACAAAGTACAGTGATCGGACAAAAAAACAGTATTTTAGTTAAAGAGTTATTCAATGTTAATCAACTGTATAACTAAGTATTGTTTAGCAATTACATAGAAGAATACAGACAATGCACGATTTCTAGCATTTACGTTGCAAATACTTCTCAGTATTTTCTTGTATAGGATATGTAAGCTTATGATATGGATAGGAATGTAGATAAGAGAAATGTTTATGTATTTGTCTATTTTTATTGCATTTTAGTCATGATTATTGTTTCTTTAAGAATACATTGTATTAGTTTTTTTATTGCTATGTTATTATTTTTGTTGATAGTTCATTGATGAAGACAAATTGTACAAATGTGAAAATAAACTTTTGAACTTTTACTGTGTTTTTGTGCTTTCAGAACACAAAAGCTCAATAATGGGCTTCACACATTGTACCCTTGTGGGGGATCAAACCCAGGTCTTTGGCGTGATGAGCGAACACTGTAACTACTTGGCTACCCCACTGCCCCGTTTCCAAAAGAGATCACACTCACCAAACACTGCATACAGATGAAATAGAACATTCGAGCATGTCCTTTCCAATTGTAGGGACTCTTTTGAAAGTTATAACATTAATAACTACTAACAAATTGAAAGTGACAAGTTCAAGAGTGAGTGAGGTTAGTTTTACGCCACACTGAGCAATATTCCAGCTATATGGCGGCAGTCTGTAAATAATCGAGTCTGGACCAGACAATCCAGTGATCAACAGCATGAGCATCAATCTGCGCAATTGGGAACCGATGACATGTGTCAACCAAGTCAGCGAGCCTGACCACCCAATCCCATTAGTCGCCTCTTACGACAAGCATGGGTTGCTGAAGATTCATTCTAACCCGGATCTTCACCGGTTGACAAGTTCAAGACCCTACACTAACAAACCACTGTAGACAGCTGGCACCAGGTTTTCATGTAATTGTAATGGGAGCACATCCAGTACAACAGCTATATCATCCACTCAGATTACAGGGACTCATCTAACAGGGGTAAAATTCAGTCCAACAAATACACTGGAAGTTCAAGAACCATCACTCGCTATCGAGTTCAGATGATGAAGTCAGGTGTTCCCCAGAAGGTTTGTTTTGTAACACTTGTGTTGTTATCCTTGTAACACTTGTGTTGTTATCCTTGTAACACTTGTGTTGTTATCCTTGTAACACTTGTGTTGTTATCCCCACTGAAGTAGCATGCATTGCGCACAGCAAACAGAATCGTTGAGTGTAGACTCATTTAGTCCTTGGAATGCTTGTTCTCAATTAATTCTTCTCTATACTACAAAATAAAACATAGCCATTATAGCAGGTTGAGTGTAGACTCATTTAGTCCTTGGAATGCTTGTTCTCAATTAATTCTTCTCTACACTACAAAATAAAACATAGCCATTATAGCAGGTTGAGTGTAGACTCATTTAGTCCTTGGAATGCTTGTTCTCAATTAATTCTTCTCTACACTACAAAATAAAACATAGCCATTATAGCAGGTTGAGTGTAGACTCATTTAACTTCTTCTCTATACTACAAAATAAAACATAGCCTTTATAGCAGGTTGAGTGTAGACTAATTTAGTCCTTGGAATGCTTGTTCTCAATTAATTCTTCTCTATACTACAAAATAAAACATACCCACAATAGCAGGTTGAGTGTAGACTCATTTAGTTCTTGGAATGCTTGTTCTCAATTAATTCTTCTCTATACTACAAAATAAAACATAGCCATTATAGCAGGTTGAGTGTAGACTCATTTAGTCCTTGGAATGCTTGTTCTCAATGAATTCTTCTCTATACTACAAAATAAAACATAGCCATTATAGCAGGTTGAGTGTAGACTCATTTAGTCCTTGGAATGCTTGTTCTCAATGAATTCTTCTCTATACTACAAAATAAAACATACCCACAATAGCAGGTTGAGTGTAGACTATCATTTAGTCCTTGGAATGCTTGTTCTCAATTAATTCTTCTCTATACTACAAAATAAAACATAGCCATTATAGCAGGTTGAGTGTAGACTCATTTAGTCCTTGGAATGCTTGTTCTCAATGAATTCTTCTCTATACTACAAAATAAAACATAGCCTTTATAGCAGGTTGAGTGTAGACTCATTTAGTCCTTGGAATGCTTGTTCTCAATCAATTCTTCTCTATACTACAAAATAAAATATAGCCTTTATAGCAGGTTGAGTGTAGACTCATTTAGTCCTTGGAATGCTTGTTCTCAATGACTTCTTCTCTATACTACAAAATAAAACATAGCCTTTATAGCAGGTTGAGTGTAGACTCATTTAGTCCTTGGAATGCTTGTTCTCAATGACTTCTTCTCTATACTACAAAATAAAACATAGCCTTTATAGCAGGTTGAGTGTAGACTCATTTAGTCCTTGGAATGCTTGTTCTCAATGACTTCTTCTCTATACTACAAAATAAAACATAGCCTTTATAGCAGGTTGAGTGTAGACTCATTTAGTCCTTGGAATGCTTGTTCTCAATGACTTCTTCTCTATACTACAAAATAAAACATAGCCATTATAGCAGGTTGAGTGTAGACTCATTTAGTTCTTGGAATGCTTGTTCTCAATTAATTCTTCTCTATACTACAAAATAAAACATAGCCTTTATAGCAGGTTGAGTGTAGACTCATTTAGTCCTTGGAATGCTTGTTCTCAATTAATTCTTCTCTATACTACAAAATAAAACATAGCCATTATAACAGGTTGAGTGTAGACTCATTTAGTCCTTGGAATGCTTGTTCTCAATGAATTCTTCTCTATACTACAAAATAAAACATAGCCTTTATAGCAGGTTGAGTGTAGACTATCATTTAGTTCTTGGAATGCTTTTTCTCAGTGAATTCCTGTCTTCACTACAAAATAGCCTTATAGCAGGGTATAGAATCCTGCTTTCAGCAGAGATTTTGTCAAATTATGGAAATGGTTTTGTCACTTTCATCCAAATGCATATTTCCTTTCTTTCTACACTTGCCTATTTTAATTCTCTATAAATGCTAAATGAACTAGAATGTAAAGACATATTCCACAGTATAGGTTACACAAAACCAAATATATATTTTTAAATTACAAGCCATCAACAGCTATTACATGTACACGTGTGCATATTCTGGCCGTAAAGCAGTAATAAACATTAAAAAAATGACTACCCCAGCCAATTTCTTTTTCGAGTACAGGCAAAACAGTCTAAGCCCAGTTCCGCACAAAATGTCAACCGCTTGAAAATACCTGTGTCACATTCAGCCTCAGTCATCACATGGAAAAAGACAGCTGTAAATATTTAAAAAATATGGTCAGTTTTAGTGACTGGAGGGATGTAAATTTAAAAAAACACAAAAATCTGACACAAAATCACCCAATCACAGCTGTCAGATGATTCCGTCCACACTGAAGGCTCCCTACGAAAAGTGCTTCTTAAAATACAGTTCGTAAAAATTTCCACCTGTATCCCATTAAATTACTGTTTTTCTTCAGACTGAGCTGTCCCCTGGCTGCTTAGTTTTGACTGTAACAGGGATTCAGAAATAAAATTTAAATTATAATTTTCTTTTTTTTACAGAATCTGATTTGGTGTTGTATAACCATAGGGCTCAGTTATGTGACATGAAGGATATAAGAGGGTTAGGGTAT